CCCCCCCCCCCCGCGCTTGCACTCTCTCTCTCTCTCAAAAATAAACGAACATTAAAAAAAAACAAATAAAACACCTCATTTACTACTATGAAGTAACTCAGCTACGGGCGGTGGGTCTGGTGTTCCTGAGCGTGGCTCAAAACTGCTTCCATCTGGGCTCTAAATCGTGGACTCTGGGGGAAGATGTGTCACTGCCTTCCCATGCCCCGAGCTACCCAAGGAAGAAGCAAGGAACACTGAGAAAGGGAGCTTTGAACTCTTTCCATTTACCGGGTATACACCCGGGGATACACTCCCAACATATGGGGTCTGTAGATGGAGGCCTGGAGATTTCCACCTAAGCTGCGAATTTTGAAAAACTTCAGATCGACGGATAAGGTATACAAATAGTAGAAACACATCCCTATACCCTTCACCTACATTCACTGTTACTATCTTGCTACATATATCCCTCTCTGAACCATTTGAGAATTGGTGGCAAACTCTCTACCATACTCCTATATTTTAGAAAATTTTGTTAATGTTTATTTTTGAAGGAGAGAGACAGAGTGTAAGTGGAGGAGGGGCAGAGAGAGAGAGAGAGAGAGACAGACAGAATCCGAAGCAGGCTCCAGGCTCTGAGCTGTCAGCATAGAGACCAACGTGGCGCTCGAACTCACGACCCGTGAGATCATGACCTGAGCCGAAGTCAGACGCTTAACTGACTGAGCCACCCAGGCACCCCACCAATATAAAATATTTAAACACTAAACTCTAAGAGCAAATTCACCAAATCGATTTGATGAGCAACATGGCAAAAATCTATGCTTAGCAGCAGTGACATCATTATCAAAGTTTTCTCTGAAATGGGTAAATATTCTAGAATGTTGGCAGTAAGCTTTTCATGAATCCTTGCCTTCTAGACTAAAGTTCTTATTTTAGAGTTTCACCCGCCAGATTCCCATCACTGCTACTAAGAGAAGGGTATGAATAATGATATACAAGGGATGCTATGAGCCATTCTGCAGGAGAATCCAGAACATGAAATTATTATTATTTTTTTGCAGTTGACTTATTTCACTTTGCAGAACCTTGGTTAGGCTGATACAAATCCTGCTTTGTGTTCTGAGCTCTTACCTAAGCGTCTTCCCCTGGCAGAAAAAAAAAACGGGTTTGCTGAACTCAAGGTCTGAGCAGCAGAGAAAGCAGGCTGCAAACCCCTGGGGTCCCATCTTGGATGACCTCTGCACACCCCTCCCCCCGCCTGTTTTTGCCCTGTGCCACGGAAGTTTGTCTTAAAGAGTCTGAAGTCCTCTGTCTCCCTCCGCACAGTCCTGCAATCTTACCATACACACAACTCTGCTTCTTTCCTCCCGGACATCTGCTGGGAAGTTAAGTGTGTGAGCGCTGGGGGGGGGGAGGGTGTGGCGGTCGT